CCTTCCCATTTTGGTCATCCCAAGCAAAAAAAAAAAAAAAAAAAAAGAAAAAAAAAAGAGTGATGCAACAAAACTATAAACTAGTCATCAACTCAGATCTTATTATTAACAATGTTGCAAGATAACATATGAAAGAATAAAAAAGGTAGTCATTAAAGGACTCTGTGTAGCACCAATTCTTTGTGGAGTTCCAATGAAAAATTTCTTCTCATTAACAAAAACACTTTATACATTGAGATATAACTGAAATCAGTTACATTTCAAATGCTATGAGGACTTAAATTTTTTGCTTTCATAGACTGGAAAGCACTGTTTACTGTGCAGCATTATTCCCACATACATCAAGGTATTTTAATGTCATTCAACTCTCATAATACCACTGGAAAAATAATCCCCAAAACCCTTTTAAAAAACATCTCAGCCTCCTGCTCTGAAGGGTTACCTTTTGTGTAGTTTGCTGACTACTTACAGACAGACTATATACAGGGAACTTGGGAATTGACTTGGTTTCCCCTGTGTAGAGTTTCCCAAGCAAAGCAAGAAAAAACAACTTTTTAGAGTCCAAAGCAGTATTACCTCTATAAAAATAACATCAGGGCATAAACTAAAATCTAACCTGGTGGGGATGAGGAGGGAACGGCATAGTACTGAGTCGGTGGGGTTCCATTCACAACAAAAGAAGGCATTTTTGATTCTTCTACATGCATGAGAAGGCTTGGCAAAAATTTCACAGGAGAGAGCTTAGGCTTTTTTATGTCTATACCCTAAAGTAAAAATCTTTAGTTGCACTTAGAATGTCTTTTACACATCAGCATAGAAATATTCTTCTGTAGCGCAAAGTTAATTTAGTAAGCTTTGTTCTATGTAGTCCTAGAATTGAATTCATTAAGAAATTAAATTTAAAATTTTAATCTGCACTGTGCCATGACCTTCTAGAATGATTTTGCTTCTCATCACTTTAAATAACACTGCACAGAGTATACAAGGTTGTTTTAATATTTTTTAAATTATTTGAAGACAATGTACTTATATTATGCACTAATCATACTTAAGCCTGTCTCATCACAATAAAGTCTTCAGCAACATTCAAAGGTGGTGAATTCAGCCAATTTCCTATGAAGAGACCCACCTGTTGGTCAAGGAATGTCACTATCTAGAAATACCAAATAAGAAAAGTTAACACTTAAAGTGAACAATCAGCCACAAATACTACTGCATTCTTAGTTGCCAGTTTCAAAATATGTATCTTTTTCCAGGTTGCCTTGTACATCTGAAAATGTCTTTCTTAGTAAACAGTTATTGGAATAGCTTTTTCAACAACATTTGGGTTGTTGAAAAAGATGGTGAGGAATAAAAGTCTAACCAGAACAAAACGTACAGAACATAGCACTTCAACAAAAGAAATTAAGAAATTCCTGCTTTTCATTGTGTTAAGAGCACCCACATAGCTCATGAAAATAAATAATCTGCTATAAACGCTCTGAGACCTGGAACCTCCTCTTACCCATTCAGCCACACTAAAAGCACTTAGCAAGGCCATATGCCAGGCTTGACCTGTAGATCTGATATATTAAGTGTTTGGAAAGAATTTTGCAAGTTACTCTTTAAGGAGCAGGCTCATGATAAAAGTGAAGCCTCAACAAACTTCTACCATAAACAGACTCCACTTGATTCAGACTGCTATTTCATTCTGGAGCCATACCAAGACAATACAAACAACTGGCAAGTCCTTCAGCATCAGGGCAAAATGACAATTCAGTTTTTATTATTCTTCCAAAAAGTGTTAAGACAAAATTTACAAGGCCACAATCCCTTCTTTTCAGAGTTATCCCAAGAAGTGTATAAAGAAAAAAAATGTGCACGCAACTTTACAACATCTTTTAGCGTTCTCTTATTCTGATGTAAAGATGGTTTTGGTGTCCAGCACACATCAGAGTGACTCTAAAACTGACTGAGCCTTAGCATGCACTAAGGCTTGGGATTTGGAGGGGTCTTTATCAACTTCTGTCATGTTACTCACCTTCCTATTTTTGCAGCGGTCTCCTTGCAACCTACAATCCTCCACAGAGGGTAAGTCAATGACTGAACAGTTTTGTATCTTCTCTCCGTTCAGAGGAGAGCATATACCTAACTTTTTTTTACTTTAAAAAAAGAAGTGTTCTGTCATGGAAACTGATAGCACAAAAAATCCCATTCCAAACAATTTACAGTAACTTTATGACTCCTCCTCATCTACAAGGCACAGGAGAAGCCTTCACAGATTCTGACTGTCAGCAACAGCTCCTGTGTCTTGCTCCAGGTCAACCCAAAGACTTACTAGTTCATTTCTGAGCAGTGTCACACCATCATTGCTAGCAGGGAGGGCATTCTAGGAGAAACAATTTTGATGACTTATTGATCCACACCAGTTGACTTGGAGTAACAATAGTACCCTATTCCCTCAACATTGTGATAATGGGGTGCTCCAAAGGACATTCAGAAGCTACAGAAAGCTCCAAGAGGTTTCAATTCCACACGCCATTTTGGGGTAGATTACTCACATATGGAAAAGACAAGTGGCAGTCTTTTCTTCTTCTCTACACAGCTCAGAGCAGAGCTATTTTCTTCCATCCCCTTATGACACAAAATTTAGTCCTCCCCTTGCCCCCACTACAGCTTTCGCATCTGACATAACTGCCTACTTTATGCATTTTTAAAAGATGCAGGTATGCCTGCAAACAGTACAAATCAGATATGATCAGGCATTTGTAGTGTTAGAAAGAAATCTACTACATTAACTATTACTATTGTCAAAAGGAGGAAATACAACACAGGCAGAGTTCCTAAAGAGCAACTTACAAAAATCTTGTATGCAATCTTCAATGGGCTTTTTTGTAACTGTCCTCAAAGAAGTTAATTTTTGATGTTAGCCTGAACACTTGGGCTAGAACTAGAGTCGTAGGGCATGTGGGGTCAAGAGGCCAAAGACTGTTTGCCATTCAAAGCCTGCAGCACCCCACAAATGCTAGCCTGAATTCAAGCTGTTTCCTCAACTCTGCCTTTCAGTCTGCACAGCAGAGGAGGTGATCATGAAACAAGCTTCCACTTTAATTTCATCATCATTCTCTCGAACTGGAAACCTTCCCGTCATTTGGATTTCCAAACACTTTGGGAGTGGGAGGAGCCCCTCCATATAGGAGAAAAAAAATCAAAACAGATTCCTTGTACATAAAACTTGTGGTTGCATCTGAGAAACATAAAACCCAGCACAGACAGAAAATAGTGTTTACAAGCCTTGTGAAAAGTTGTTTTTCTTTAAACAGTTAAGAGCGATTCAGTATTTTATTCTATCATCTTTCCTTATGCTATCCTTCTCCTTCTTAGCCACATTTCCAGGGTCACCTCCAGAGTTCAGTTTGCCTGTGATCCTACAAAGCCTACTAGCTGCATGCTGCTTTGAAAACTAGAATATGCCATCTACTGGCAACTTAATAAATTGGAAGTTCAACCATCACTACTTCAAACATTTTAAATTTACCTGTATTCAATTTAAATGCAAACCTAAAGGGACAAACTCCAGCTAAGTCCTTCAGATTGCATGGTAGCATTTAGTATATAAACAAGTTACAGATCATAAGGTACCCAAGAGCAAATCAGAAAGCTGTAACAAGCGCTACACTGCAAGTTCCATTCAGCACAACTTTCTGCACCTTAGACCAACTGGTTTGCCTTCTCTTTCTCTGCTGCTATTTTATTACCTTATGAGAGGGAATAAACAATCCCCTATGCCCTATTTAGTCGAGGGTTTCTACAACAATGAACAGCTGTGTAGTGCCCTCCTAGTAAGGTGGAATAACTGCAGTTACTTAATTGAATCTAAAGAACGAGTTGATTGAATGATTTTGTATAGTGGAAGAGTTGAAACATATTTAACTCACGCATTTTAAGCGAATAGTATCTGTGTTTTAGTAACTGTGCTGTTGATGATTCGCTTTAACATACACATGTTGTTTAACACTGGAGTAGCCCGGTTGTGCTCCAGGGGACTGTTCAAGGTAGGTTTCCACGCTGGCTACCATAAGGACAGTTTGTACCTCTACAACTTTTTAACATGGACTTGTGAGGAAGCTGCTAGATCCAGAGAATTCAGCTTTACACAACTGAACCACCTGCATTAGATGATCACACAGGAATCAGCAGAGTCTGCCAAGGGAGCACCTTCAACCCTGGGAGGAGGGCAAACCTCAGCTGGGCAAGCCCAGCTCCGTGCGGACAGCGGGCCGTGGGTGACCTTCCTCCACACCGCCGCCGGCCAACGCGTTACCTGAAGCCGTGAGTTCATGAGCATGAACTCCTGCTGAGCCTTCAGGCTGTCGTTCACGGACTTGGAGAAGACGAACCCCATCGTGCCCTGCAGCGCAGAAGAGACAGGCAGGTGAGGCCGGCGCGGCGGCAAAGGCGGGCGGTACCACAGGAAGCCCTCCTCGGCCTCGCCCGCCTCC